CTGTACACAATCACAAAAGATCTTTTTATTCATTTTAACTAGAAAATTCAAGAGGCTCCAGTTCTAAGAAACCAAAAGATAACAAGGGTGAGATCCTTCATTATAACTTGATTAATACCATGTAAAATGTGCATATCTTCAGTCTCTGTTGAAGAGCTTTGCATCTTCTTGTAAAATTATTCAAATTTGACAAGAATTGTACACTGTAACAAAATACAACATTATTCCACTTAATAGGAAGCAAAGAGCAGGACTCCAGTGAATCTAGTTCAAAGGAAGAAAAGAACGGTAAGAGCCTTCAACACTGTGTATCAGTATCACATACAGTGTGGTGTATTTTAATCACGGTGGAAGAACTTTGTAATGTCTTGGAACTCCATGAACTGTAAGGACTGTTATTCTTCTTATGTTTACTAGAAAGGAAAAAGCAGGACTCCAGTGAATCTAGTTCAAAGGAAGAAGAGGATGGAAATAGTAAGACCCTTCACTATGTGTCACACCCAATGTGTAGTCAGTGGCATACTTTGAAATGAGAGAAATATTTGCTTATATTGTGATGTCAAACAATGCCCCCAAAATGATGATGTATTATTCTATACATTTACATCTATATTCTACATTTTTTTAATTGGTTGCTAAAGCTTGGTTGCTAAATGCACATTAAACTGTTTACTGGATTATGTGTTAAATGTGTTGATGTGACAGTGGAAATTCAGATTTTTTCTTATCTTATCTTTTAAGGTGTATTTAACTAAATTAAATACATTTAATTAAATAACTTTGACAGGTACACAAAGCCATTAGCACTGTACACCATCACAAATAAAATGACATTATAGCATTTATATTTACTAGAAAGCAACCTACGCCTCGAGTGTGTGTCTGATTTTAAGGAACAAAAGAAGACCGTTCACTTTAATATAACCCAAAGTGAAGTGAAGTTTCTAAGTTCCTAAGGTGGAAAATTTAGTGTTTCATTTGTCACACAGGAGTAGCTATTTTATCCTTTTTATCAGTTTCCTGATAAAATAGGACTTTCCTCTTTTTTTTGGTAATCACACAGTATTAACTCTCATTTTCTCACCATCTAAAGTATCAAATTCATTGTATTTGAAAAACAATCGATGTATTTTAATTGATCAGTTTGTGCAATTTTTAAAGTCTCACTTTCTGCTGTTTCTTCATTTTCTGCATTTCAGGAAAGCCCTGCTTCTATCCCATCAACATTCGTAAGGAGATCACATTTTGTTTTCTCATTTGCAGTTACAGTGCAAAAAAGTGTTTGCCCCCCTGATTTCCTAGTGTTTTGCATGTTTTTCACACTTACATATTTCAGATCATCAAACAATTTTTAATATTAGACAAAGATAACCCAAGTTAATATGAAATTCAGTTTTTAAATGAGGATTTCAGTGATTAAGGGAGAAAGTAAGGCTTTGGGACTCGAGTGAACCAACGTAGTAGCCATTATATACAAAATGAGAAAACTTGGAACAACGGTAAAGCTTCCCAAGAGTGACCAAAATTACTCCAAGAGCACATTGATGACGACTTAAGAAAAACAAAATGAAGACTTTGGAGCGGCCCAATCAAAGTCCTGACCTGAATCCAAAGGAGATGCTGTGGCATGACCTTAAAAAGCCGTTTCATGCTTGAAAACCCTACAATGTGGCAAAGTTGCAACAATTATGCAAAGATGATTGGTCCAAAATTCCTCTTGATTGCAGTTTTTGCTGCTAAGGGTTGGTCCAACCAGTTATTAGGTTTAGGGGGCAATCACTTTTTCACACAGAGCCATGTAGGTTTGGATTTATTTCCCTTAAATCATAAACACCTTCATTTAGAAAATGCATTTTGTGTTTACTTATGTTATCCTTGTCTAATATTTAAGTTTCTTTGATGATCTGAAACTAAATACTTTTTCACACCACTGTCCATCACAGCCATCTTTTTTAACATTCACAATTTGTCTTAGTCAAATGAAAACATTTACAGAAAAGCTTTCAAAGTTGCTAAATTATCTGAATTTGACCCTTTTCCAGGATGCTGGACAGAATGGTTCGATAGAGACGACCCTTCTGCATCTGGAGACTGGGAAACTCTTTGCAGGCTCCGCAAAGAGAACCCTGGAAAGATCTGCCCTAGACCAGCAGCTATCGAAGCCAAGACTCTATCTGGGCTCACTGTGGCTGCAGCAGGGGACGTGATTTACAAGTAAGAACAGTAGAAGAAAAAATATGTGAAAAAGTGTGTGTGAGTGATATATTCTATGGAATTGGCAGCATTTGCATTTTCACTGTTTAAGTTGGACACAGTTTGAGGATTCACCAAAGTGTGACATGAACCATATGCCACAGCAATCCATCCAGTGTTTTGGAGATATTGCAGCCTGTACCACAGTGGTGACAAATCAACAGACAGACAGATGGGCTGACAGAGTTTGATTGCCATGCCTTTAACCATGCATTAACATGTCTAAAAAATGCAAATACACTTAAGTGGTTACAGCCATTAGGCTGCTCTTAGTCAGTTTCATGTCGGTCTCCTTCTTTTCTTTTTTCTTTTTTAGAAATGACATAACTTCAGGATTCATCTGCAGAAACAAAGACCAGATCAAGAAAAAGAAGTGCAACGATTATCGTGTTCGCTTCAGCTGCTATCCCCCGTTTTGTGACAGAGGAGGTATCACTACATTCTGCATGTGGAATATTAAGCTCCTAATGCAAACTGATTTCTTGCTTTTTTTTATTGCATAAAGTATAGACAGTCATTTAAAATGTTGCTTTGGTTCTGTAGTTTTCTAACAGGCATGCTTTGTCCGTATTTACTCGCTGCAGTGTGTTGGACCAGCTGGTTTAATCGCGATAATCCTGGTGCAACAGGAGACTGGGAGGTTTTAAGTGAACTGAAGAAACAATACAAAATTTGTGACAACCCTCTGTATGTGGACGCTGTTACCACTGACACGATGACCCCAGCCATCTACACAGGGGAGACCTTTTACATGTAAGCTGCCTCCTAAGAAAACAATAAAAGCTTCACGTTTGGTACAAACGTTGTTCAGCAACAACGCCTCTTGCCTCAAGTTTCCAAATTTTAGACATGTTCTGCCTGAAGATACTTCTTAAACAACGAATGGGAATTCAGTTATATTTGTAAGGGTGATCATTTTTCCTGAGGGAACTGCATAATGTCGAAATTCATTCTTGTATTACTGGGTTGACTTAAACAATATGTGTGTTATGAGAAAGAAAAAGTAATACATGACAGGAAATGATTTACTTGTGATTATTTTATCTTATTTAAATAGGATGTTTGAGACATTTCACATTTACACTTATAAAAAAACAAATTACACAAGACATTTGGATGAGTAAAATTCATTTTTATTGGACCTGCCAACAGCACTATTGCGAAACCAGGTCATCTATTTTTATCATTAAAAAAAAAGACAACTGCAACAACAAAAGTAAGTATGGTTTAACCAACATGCCTCATTAAACAGTGGAAATGAACTGACATTTACATATTACTTTACCAGTCTTATTGACTGTGGAGTAAAGTGCTGGAGAATACAAGGTACATTTGACCATACATCTTTACTCTGCTTTACTCTGTGCACTTTAATTATTTTATGGTGGGCAAATTAGACCTACTAACTAAATATGTATGTCTTTGTACAATAAACACAAGTTCCTGTTTTAGATTATTATCAACGTAATAATAAAATAAAATAAAAACATTAAGCATATTTGTAGCTTACTTTGTGCTCATTTTTTTCAGGTACAATCCAACTGACGGATTTGTTTGCCGCAATAAGGACCAGACTACTGGCAAGTGCAGAGACTACAAAATTCGCTTTGGATGCCCATGTAACAACTGAGCCCCAATCGAGTCCACCACGCTTAGAATTGTGGGGAGAGAAGAAGTTCCTCTTCATATCACTTTAATTTTCCTCTGCTATTTCTTTTGTTTAATAATTCATTTTTTACTGGGCGTAATATCGGGAAGAATTTGTAATGGGCCCCCTTCGCAGACATCTTCACTTAGCGGCGTTGCAAAAGCACAGGTGTTGCTAAATGAAAGATGATCTTGTTTCAAGCGACCATGGTGATGTGAACGACACAAAAGCAGCTAAAAATGAAGATTTAGTATTAAATATGTACGTAAATGTTTTCAGTGGTACAGGAGGAAGTTTTTCTGCTTTAACTTTCTTTTCTTTTCAGTGATTATGAAAGCATGACATTGTTTGACTAATGAACCAAACGACTAAAACGAATAAAACCACTAATGAACAGCAAGTCGGTTTCTTCTCTTGAGCTTACATGAAGCTATGACTTGATGTGAGTTATGCAGATGCACAGTATATGTTTTCAGCAGATGGCGGGGACTAATGTGATACGCATGCTGTGTTGTTTGACAGGAAAGTGAAAATGTGGAAAAGCGCAACTCAGTAAATCTGAATTTTACATCAAAATAATTGGCAACACTAACAAGCAAACACACAGGTAGAACTAATGTCTATTTATAGAAAAAAAGACAGTTTGTTTTTTTAGTGCAGGATTAGTGTATTTACAGCTTCCCTTTCTCGCTGACCTACATAACACCTTCGCCACATTTCCTTTAAAATCAAGTATTCTTGATGCGAGCCTATACGTGCACATAACCCCCTGCAAACCCAGAATGTACACATATAGGCACACAGATACATATATACATGCACACACATACACACACAGGCACTAAGGAGAACAGGGAGATACAAGGTGATTCCATAACACCGCCAACAATTCCTCGGGAGATGAGCACTTGTGATAGGCGCTGAAAAGAAACTGCAGGGCACTGTACGGAATATAAAATAAGGAACTTTTCCACAGTCTGCTCCTGGAAACGAATCTGTTCTTTGGAGGGTTTTGCTAATGCTTGCATGTTTGCATTGCATCAACAGTTCTGTACTTGGTGCCATTTGGCTTTGAGCATGAACGCCTGTCTTCCAGAAGGCTGAAGACTGTGTTGAAATAGGCAACATATCAAAAGACGAAAAAGAAAGAAAAAAACAACCGAGAAGGACGAATGCAATCTGTTAAATTTTTCCTCTCAACTTCTCATGATAAAACTAAAGAGGAAAAATTCTGACACTGGTGGCAAAATAAAATGAAATTTGCATTATTGAAGTGCAACATAAGTGTTGAAGCTTTGCAGCACTATGGCGTTCCATTCTCTTCCATTAATCTACCAATATTCCATGGCTGTGAAGGCCTATTTATAGACCAGGGGATGATTAAGTGGTGAAGCTCTGTGCCACAAAGGGAACCAAGCTCATTTTCTTTTTCCTTCCTCTCTCTTCTTTGTGTATTCTCTTCCTACTTCTCCCTCTCTCTTTCTATCCCTCTGTGCCCTAGTCTTCTTTCCTATCGTCTCACTCTTTCTCTCTGCGCTCCTCTTTTCCATGAGCTTATATATTATATACCCAACTTTCATTCATATACTTTAGTTTAGCTGTCATTAAAATTATGTTAGACTCAAGGGGTAAGGATAAGTCCTTTAATTTCTTTTTTTTTTTTCATTAGGCATTTGACAAAAGGATTTACAGCAGTGTTAATTGTTATGAGGCTTCACAGCAAAGACTGACAGGCTTAACAAGAGAGGATGGAGCTCAGTTCTATATGTTTCCATTGCTAAGGCAAGCTGGCTCAAGAATGAAAAGTGTTTTTAGTTAAAAGTAGAGGAAGAACATTTGTGCAGAGAGCTGCTTGCAAGGTGTCCTTGAGTGGAAGTAGAGCAATGCACAGGGTAAAGGGTTAAGCTCATTTTCATGTGTGCAGACATGATTAATGGAGGAGAGGAGAGAAGAGGAGAGAAGAGGAGAGAAGAGGAGATGAGAGGAAAGGAAAGGAAAGGAAAGGAAAGGAAAGGAAAGGAAAGGAAAGGAAAGGAAAGGAAAGGGAATGACCTCACCCAATTTAGGACCAGCCTCATTTCATCGTTTCCAGAAGAGCAAGGACATTAATGAGCTCAAACCCTCCTCCGTGCTTCCACACACTCCAGCTACTGGTCCATATCCAGATTTTTTCCCTGCATTTACAGAGGCTTGGATAACAGCATTTTTGTGAAGAGTGGGCTTAGTGCAGAGCTGTAAATACTGATGACCTCAATAACACCCATCTGCCTATTAAAACCACTCAAAATATTTGTAGAAGGAGGTGAAAATGGACTATTTGAATATGCTGAAATGATACTTATTATGCCAGAAGTAGATTTATTTTTAATGCGATAAAAAATGGATTCTGTGTTAGAAATTAACCATAAAAAGTGCAGTCATTTATATCATACATATTGAATATCAAAGCTTATGTGACAGAAACAAGACATCATATTTGTCCTCATCAGAAATGTCTTTTTCTCACTAACTGCAAGAGTTTGGAACTGAAAATAGCAACATTTAATGCATCTGAAAGCATCTCAGCATCCTTAAATCTAGAACAGCTCTTTGCAATCACCTAACAGCCGGAGCTTGTATTTAAAGACCAATTTGTTACACTATTTAGAATTTCTGTTTATTTGTCTAATATATTTTGGTATAGCTGCAGTCTTGGCAACCCATGAAAACACTTTAGCTGTACAAGGCAGTCCATGTACGTTGAGTTATTTTTAATAAATCCTTAACCAGGCAATTTGATAATTCCCAAATCCATCTGTCAAATAGCATTTAATTTAAAGACACAAATTTATCACATTCATGGCGGTGTAAATTTGATTAGTCCTGAATTATGTATAAATGAATAGCTCTGCCTCCATCCCTAGACTCCTTGGGATGTCAGACCCCAACTTTAAATCCCTCTCACCAAAGCAATATGAGCCTGAAAAGCTATTAGAGCATGACTCCTGAGAGATGAACAAGACAAAAGCGTTATGCCTGTACCTCCACGTAAGGTGCGAACAATACCAGGCTATTTTCACTCTGACAAGCCATATTAGTCGTGCCAGCTTTTGCCTGCTGGCAACTCCGACGTGATAGCTGTCTGGGACATTTTGTTTCCAGTCACAGTAGCTGATCCCTTGATTAAAAACATTGAATGCTGAGAGCGTGTTATCCCTGTTTGGAGTTTCTGATCCTGGGTGTCTCAGGCGACTGCTGGGCTTTCTCATCCCCAGCGGCAACAGCTGATCCCAGGAACTTTAAGGACGCAGAGTGGATTGCATTGCTGAGGTGGAAGTCAAAACATGCCAGAAGTGTTTGCCTGTCATAACCCTTCGCTGAAAAAGAAAAGAAAAATTCTGGTGTGTAAACTGATTTCTAATGAGGAAATAGATGCATTGTTACCCAACTTTCACTGCAGTATCTTTAAGACAGCAAACGGTCTTTGTAAAAGTTATTTTTCCCCCGCATCACACCCTATGGCCTGAAACAGATTTATATTATGTGGTGACATGATGTTAGCTTGGTGGCATTCATGTTCATGGGTGGTTTCCGTGTCTCTTTTGTCAATGGCTTATAAAATGGCAAGAATTACACCGCTCCCCAATGAGTTATGACTAGGCACCGAGAGAGCCCATTAACAAAGGCCCAGATGCACACGAATCACCAATGTGTGTCCAATCTTTGTTTACACTATCACATTTGGCTTTGAAAGGCCCTCCACTTACACCCATTCATGGGCATCAGAGATGGAGATGTCTTTGGAGAAAGGGAAGTTTATTGGAGGCTTTCCTGTAACAGAATGCAAAGCCTTATGAGTTCCTCTCATATTCTCCAGTCTCCTTCTCTGCAGGCAAACCCTTGGCACTGGCTAGCCCAATAGGGAAAGTCACTTTTTGCAAGCATTGCCAAGATTTCTATTTGAAAGCCAAAATGTGTAGGCAGACAGATGCATCTGTCCACATTCTGTCTGTTCCTCTCTTTCAAACTTTCCTCACTGGCTTTCACTATTGCTCTCTCTCTCACACACATGCATATGCACACACATCCACTCGCTCACACAGGGGGCTGTTTCCTCATCGTTCACACTGAGAAATGCCCTGTAAGGATGTCCTTATCCTGCAAACCAGACTCTGCTGGATGCTATATAATAACAACTCCAGCCATCCACCATCCAATCAGCCAGGCTCACTGCTGTGGGTGCGCGCGTGTGTCTGTGAATATGCATGATTTTTTTTTTCTCTCCCTAAGATCTGAAACCACAGCGCACAGAAAGGATTTATTTTTCCTGACAAGATATAAACAACTCATACAAAATCAATTTTAAAAAGGAAAATATTTATTCATTTACAATTGTTTGTGGTCGGATAGAGGCTACTGTGTGAGGAATTTCAGCTGAGAACCATAAATATTACCACAATGATACATTAAAAAACAGTCCATGGTGAGCACAAGGATGGATAGAGGTGGATTATGCAGCAGGAGAAGTCTGAGAATTTTCTGTGGACATTTGGACTTTCTTGCTCTGGAAAAAGTGGGGCATCTTTTCCACTAATTATGGGATGAATCCAAGCTGACTACAACTGCTACAAACCTTTCAGACCAATATTTCAAACCAAAAATGTGTTAAATAAACTGTATTTGAGTTATTAATGAAGCATTCCTTTTAAGTGGCACAATGAATCATAATCTGTAATGTTTCAATGGATATTAAATCTCTATGGCAATATGAACTATAATGTTTCATTAGTATAGCCTTGATTAATCTTTTCTGCACTTATGATGTTTTTTTTTTTTTTTAAATAAACATGTGAAGCATATGCATCCAGAGTTATATTTAATATATTATGTTTTAAGCCTCTTTAAAGGTCTAATCAGGCACATGTGTTTCAAAACTGGGTGCGCACTGGAAGACTACAGTCAGGTGCTCATTAATCCAAACATCTAATCAAACATGGTACTGGCTCAGTGGATTCGGGCATGTAGACATGGTCAAGAGGATCTTCTGAAGGAAGGAGCTGAGCATTAGAATGAACTGGGATTTAATTAACTGTGAATGGGACATGCTTGATAGTGCTAGACAGGCTGGTCTAAGTATTATAAAAACTGCTGATCTACTGGGATTGTTCCACACAGCCAGAGAGTGGTGTGAAAAAGAGAACCTATCCAGCGAGTAGCAGTTTTCTGTGAGAAAATGTCCTGATGATGTCAAAGGTCAGTGGAGAATGGCCATACTGCTTGGAGCTAATAAGAAGGCAACAGTAACTCAAATAACCATTCATTACAACCAAGGCATTCAGAAGAGCTAAAATCATCAAACCTTGGAGCAGAAAGTGAACACTGGGTGCTGTTCCTGTCAGCTAAGAACAGGAAACTGAGACT